ACCTCTGAGACTATCACAGTGCAGGTGCATTTATACGGAGACTTGATTACACACAGGTGGATTCTATTTATCATCCTTTGTCATTTAGGTCAACATTGGATCATTCAGAGATCCTCACTGAACTTCTGGAGAGAGTTTGCTGCACTGAAAGTAAAGGGGCTGAATAATTTTGCACGCCCAATTTTTCAGTTTTTTATTTGTTAAAAACGTTTGAAATATCCAATAAATTTCGTTCCACTTCATGATTGTGTCCCACTTGTTGTTGATTCTTCACAAAAAATTACAGTTTTATATCTTTATGTTTGAAGCCTGAAATGTGGCAAAAGGTCGCAAAGTTCAAGGGGGCCGAATACTTTCGCAAGGCACTGTATTAATATGGTGTAACTAATATAATGTAACATAGTCAGTTATTTGTTTTCAGGGTTGAATATGGGCCCCGTGGTAGCAGGGGTGATCGGAGCCAGGAAACCCCAGTATGATATATGGGGGAACACAGTGAATGTGGCCAGCCGTATGGACAGCACAGGAGTACCAGACTACATCCAGGTACTGCAGAGACCTAACTCCTCATCATTTTGTAACTTTATGTTCACAAGAGGCTGCAGTGGTAACTAGTCATTCCAACATTAAAGAGTGTGTCACTAATGTATATTCAGCTCTTGCACAAATTCTTCTGCTTTGTGAACAAAAATGTCCACACCACAGATAAATAACTTATAAGATCTTTATTGCCCTAAAGCACATAACAGTACAGATAGATATTGTTTGGGGTACAGATGTAATCAGTGCACAGTACATCAGTGCAATTAGTCCTTCAGTTTATGGATTTAGGTTGAGACAGCCGGTGTGTATGGGTGCCCTTGGGCAAGAATCCCTATCAGCACTGGATGTGCTGTTCTCTACTATAAATGGTTCTCTAAAGTCCCTCTGGAGGAGGGCAAAAAGCTAAATTTGAATCTCCTGCAGAGGCCGGGCAACTGCTCGTCCACTATAATATAATCTTTGATAGGCAAATCTTAAACACAAAAAGCAGGCATCACATGTTCCTCAAAGCAGCAGCAGACGAGGACAAGATTCCACAGTGGTATTTACCATCTTACTTACTGATGTATAATAGATATGAACACACATTTTGAAGCGTGTTAGTAACACCGAACTAATGTGCTGTAATTTTTCGGCCTCAACTGAGATCCAGCTGAAAAGGTTATAGTCAGAACAGTGCTGCCATCTGTTGTATAATTTGAGCTACTGCAAATCAAAATGCTTTGCAATACTCAGTATATAATTGACATTTGTCTTGACTAAATAACTCTAATGGTGAAGTGAATCTTAAAATAGTTTCATAGTTTTAAACAGATTAATTTTCTAGTGAAAAAATGTCAATCACAATTTCCCATGGTTTGAGGAGACATCTTCATATAGCATGTTGTGTCTGATTAATAATGCAAAATCAGAAGATATTTAGTCTGCAAAACAGAGAAAAGCAGCAAATCTTTACATTTGAAGTTGGAGTTAGTGAATATTTGCCATTCATGCTTGACGAATGACTTCCTGATTATTATCTAAATTTATTTTTGAACTATGGATTTATTTTAGTCAAATTTCATATTAAATGTACTTTTTAAACCTCTTATTTATACATGTTATTCCAGTTTGTATGTTATCCTTGCATCGTAGTGAAATCAGGACTGGCAGCATTTCTCCTGTGTATGGTTCTGTGTCTCACATCCTTGATGTCAAATGTCTGTGTCCTTTCTTAGGTGACCACAGACTTGTACCATGTGCTGGTCAACAACGGATACCAGCTGGACTGTCGAGGTGTTGTCAAGGTGAAGGGAAAGGGGGAGATGACCACTTACTTCCTCACCCGCGGCCCCCCTGGCACTTAATAACAGACTGGCTGACCGCAAAGGGACTCCCAAGACTGCATAGAGACTGAATGGTCAGCTTGGCACTGAGCACCAAAGCATGGTACAAATACACTGGGCACAGGAAATGACTAACAGAGACGGGCTCGGCCGGGCTGTATGTCGTCACATACTCAGATGCACACATGTAGGGGGTTTGAAGGATTTTACCCAAGCTGCTCGAGAGATCACAAAGCCCAGTTGCCTTAGGATGGAAGTGTCTGTGCTTGTGTTTATAAGCAATAGTACAAGTATTTCATCTGGAGTCGTTATTTATTTTCTGGCAGATGGATTTTTGTGATGACCTTGTACAAATAAGAATATATATATATACAACAAAACAAACCTATGTTACTTAAAGAAAATATGCAAGGACAAGATGAAGGATAAACATGACCAAAGAACAAATGTTTAATATGAACCACACGCTTATGATTCTGTTCAAAAGTACAGCAGGCTTATGTAGTTTATTCATCTTTTGACAGCAAGGGCCATCACTGTCATTGAACACTTGTTTTGTGGTGAGCTGTTTCATGAAAGAGAACACGCACGCACACATACACAGATAGAAAACTTTCACTACAACCTTGGCTTGGAATTCTGTTTTTTTATTTTTTTTTATTTGTGCGTTCCAGCCTGTGATGGGCTGCGGCCTGGACAGGAGCTGTTTGTGGTTCAATGAGATGGGTGATTGATTACTCGCTCCCTGCAGTGTATTTTTGGCTCAAGCCAACAACAAGATGAAACAAAGGAAGAACAGTTGTGTTAGCACCATGGTACTGAGGAGAGATTGTTAACTCTAATGAAGTGTTTTATATAAGTGTGTGTGTGAGTACAGTATGTATGGGTATTTGACTGTGGGTGTGAGCACATGTAACTGAATGCTGATTGTTATCCATAAAGGTGCATACTGTAACTTTTCACTGTGAGGTTTTTATGATACTGTATGACAGTGCTTTCTTAGAAAACTGGTTGCTGCAAGGCATGTTTTATATTCTTTGGGGTTGTCCGTTCTTAATTTCTTGTGTTACAATGATCATTTGAAGAGAAATATATCTACAATACTGCGCCTTTTACTGGACTGTGATTTTTTTTTTGACTGATTTCATTCCGACCTGTATATTTTGGATTGTGTTACAGACTGGTTTCCTGATAGCTTCAGGATTAACTGTATTTATCAGCTCACAAGTATTGCCTTGACATTATGCAGTTCCAAGGTCAGCTCACTTCATAGACCAATATTCATAACTTTGCATAACTTTATATCTGACACCACTAAATTGGTTGTATTTGGCACATGGAGGCTTGAGTCTCCCTATAATTAGCTGTTCAAAACAATAATCATATGAATGTATGTAATAAGGAATACGTTTGTCCACAATGGGACTGATACTGACAAAAACCACTCCTTAATTTGACTTTGGTACTGAAGGGGGAGCCAAATTACTTTACTAGAGGTCAGAATCATTGGAGTCCACTTTTAGTGCAAAGTGAAGGGACTACTTCTACATGAGCTTTAGTGCTTATATGCTAATTTTTCTGTCTGAGCCTAAAAATGTTGCCTTTATAGGCTACAAAATAATCCGTATTTTCGCTTGTCCCTGTCTGCCCCTAAAATGAAACATTAATTAAGCACTGTTGCATTTTCTTGAGTTTAAGTAATAGTGCAATGATTGATTTTATGATTTTCCCCTCCCATAAGAAATTAATAAATGGCTGCTTTTGCATTGTTTGTCTTTGTTTTGTTTGTTTTTTGTTGATTATCTTTCTCTATAGTAGCTAAAGAGAGTAAATTTTATTTTAAAAATAGTAACTAGGACATCACCTACTGAAACATATTTGATTACTGCTGTTTTAGAAAAGTCCAGTGAATAACTGGACATCAAACCCCAACAATGAACCAAAAATAGGAAATCCATTCTTCTTCTTTCAGTTTATTTCCCCTGCTTAATGGTGTTTTCTTTAATTTAGCTCTCATGTCAATCAGCGACCTGTAATCAAGGTTTCTCCCTCTGACAGTAACCTGAGAGACACTGCCTTCTCCTTTTTTGAATAACCCAGTCTAGAGTTGCAAGATGGTTATACAGGGGAGAGTATTTAATTGTTTGCACATGTATAATGCATTTCTTTTGAGGTATGGCGATGTTCACTTAACAGTACTCTGTGCTGAACGTTAATTAAGCAACATAAATTCCTCTAATCCCTGATTAAAAACGCCAGTGTCAGTGTAATGGGCTCATGATACAGGAACACGTGTCTGTGATATTCATTCATTTACACTGTGGTTTATGTATATCAAATAGCTTATATATTTTATTTTGTGCATAATTATCAGCACAGTAGGTTATTGTAAAATGTACAAAATGTTTTTAAAACATTTTGTTGTTTGAGTTTGTTTTATTTGGTAGTTATTTTGTGTCATTTTGTGATACTTTTATGACTTTTCAATACAGGAAGTCGTGCTCCGTTTGTAAAGGAACTGCCTTTAACGCACTGCGCGGATACGCACGCACGCGTCCAGCAGGGGACTCGCTTTAACTCATCCCTTCAACAAATGGCACCTGTTCGGTTCCAAGGAAAAGCCGAGAGGCCAGGGTCCTGTTGCATCCCGATTCATTCAACTTCATCCGACCGGAACGACTCTCCAAGCAAATAAAGAAATACTGAGACAATCGGAGCAGGTGTAGCCACGACTCCTGGGCAGTTTATTGTAGGTAAGCGGCGTCATTTTGAAGTAGTAGAAACCCTTTAACAGCGTCTCGATGTAACGTGTGAGACAGATTATCGGCTCGCTTATGTCTAATATGTGATTTATAGGAATAAGGAATGGGTTACGTGTCTGATGTTTGGGGTGAAATACATAGACTGAATGAAAGCAGGATATTTCTAACCAACTCTTCCTCTTTCATTTTGCTCATGGTTACTGCGTTTAGGTCTACAAGTTATAGTAATCAGCGTTTTTCTATTGGCCCTGCATTGTCTGCTTGTACTAGTTTGTTCGCGCAGGAGAGAAGCTTGAATATTTATTCATTTATAAAATGATAATCCTAACAAGCATCCTTGGTCCCTCCTGAAAATACTAAAAGTCGGACTATAGGGACCTGATGGTTTATCCAGATTTACAGGTCCACATACCACTGAAAGTTGTCCGACTACATATTCTTCTATTTCTTCCTGTGACCTACCTGTGTTTACCACAGCACTGGACTAACAGCTTATTAGACACAACTGTTGAGTGTACTGTTTCCCTTTTCTGCCACACCAAAGGAGTGTCCTCTTGAATCAATTATTAAGGAGGCTGGTTTAAGAATAGAGTAAATTAATTATGATCAAGTAAGAGTCTAATTAAAGGGCACAAATGTTCTTTGCTGTTTTTAAGGCTGAATGAAGTTACAGTCCTGTCATGCTCCAAGTAGCAAACTACTTCCTGTAGCAGGTGACATCATTACCAGTGAGGTGTCTACACCAGGTACTGCGTGTTGCTTAATAAGTGGCATAGCAAGTTGAGCCAGCAGTGTAGTGGCCTCTCTTACATGGGTTCTGGAGGACTATGACCAGAGCAGGTGAGTTCAGGGGTTTACTAACAGGTGTGGTATGTTTGTTCGCATTCCCCTCCCTGTTCTTTCTACGTGTCCTATGGAAACATTTCTTAAAGTGACAAAAATGGGATGGGTAAGGTTGACTAACACCTGCTGCTATGACATTTAACAAGACGCACAAACCAGTTCAAGGGAACTAATTCCTTGAATGTCCGGCAAGTAAGGGTAGGTAAGAATTAGAGTGAGATGGCTTTTGAAACCTTGTTTAAAACCTTCATTTACCTACACAAACATTTTGAAGCTTCTGGAGAAATGATTTTGTTTTCTCTGTTTTAACAGACTTAAGATCAACACCTTTTCTCAAATATGCGTATGTTTCTACGTCGGCGTATGTCCCCCCTGAAACTGGTATTCCTTGGGGGGGCTCTCTTCATGATGACTCTTGTGGTTCTCCAGAGGGATGTTGGCCCTTCATCTGCTAGGGACCCATGGTTTCAGGACCTGGTGGACAAGAAGGACAAGGTGATAGTCATGGTACGAGACGTCGTCAACAATATCAGCTTTCAGATTAGAGCTCCACAGCCACCACCATTACAGATGCAGCCCACCCAGAATGTCAACTGCCCAGCTGGATTCTATACTCAGGATGAACTCAAACCTCACCTGGAAAGACCACCACAGGACCCCAACAGCCCTGGGGCTGATGGGAAGGGTTTCATTAAAGACAACATGACCCCAGAGGAGGAGAAAGAGAAGGAGGAGGGCATGACACGGCACTGTTTCAACCAGTTTGCCTCTGACCGCATCTCACTCAGCCGTAGTCTTGGGGAAGACACGAGGGCTCCAGAGTAAGAACATGTTCTCAGAATAATCTGAAAAAGTTTAGACTAATCATTGTTTTACCAACAAATGTGCTGATGTTTACACAGCAGGTCAGATAGTACTATGCAAATCAATTGAGGTCATGCTCAGGCTGGTAAATAATTCACAATCATTTTCATATTGAGCTCACTGTTGTCTTGTAAAAACATGTAGCAGAGTCCTAATCCTTCTGTAAACGCAAACACTGAGGATAGAGTAGCAGTGTATACATGACAGTATCCATCGTAATTGAGACTGTTAATCGTTTTCCCTGTCGCACTCCTTTTAAGCTTTAAGGTATTTCTTTGTAGATCTAACAGGTGGCATTTAATCCAACTGGTTTATTTATTTTTACTCTCAGCTTTATAAAGCGTTACTGTGATAGCTTGAATATCTGAAAACCGGTCTGTTATGTGTCTCTGCATGACCTTGTGTGACTTTGATTTAATCAGATATTCCTCTCACTCTGTCATATTTCTTTGTCTCTGTATTCTGACATGGCCCAACTCACTCAGGTGCATTGAGAGAAAGTTTCGTCGTTGTCCTCCTCTGCCCACCACCAGTGTTATTATAGTCTTCCACAATGAAGCTTGGTCCACCCTCCTCAGGACGGTTTACAGCGTCTTATACACGTCTCCTGCTATCATGCTCAAAGAGATCATCTTGGTCGATGACGCCAGTACTGCAGGTGTGGAGAAATGCTGTCATGCACTAATGCAAAACATATTCTTAAGGTTCATCGACAGCAGAATGTACAGCAAGAGCCTTGTTTAGGAGTTGGGTGACAGAGAGGCCCTCGAGGTTTATCACTTTATTCATTCACACATAAATGAGGAACAAATTCGTAAGCTCAGTCGCTTTGCTGCCGAAAGACTTGTTGATTGATAGGTAGTTAAATGATTGTAAATAAAATTTCACAGACAAGCTGACTAGGTAGAGAACTGCCAGTTCTGCATTGCACAGATGAGAAAGTAGTACAGAAGAGCAGTTACCATACTCTTTATATTTCTAGCAATAGAAAAAAATGTTTCACAGTGAAGAGACATTTAACGAACATGAAAAAATGACTGGAGAGCTCCTGTGGTTTATTTCTTAAATATGATAAACTGTAGGAAGGGGACATTCACACAAGAGACAAGTTATCCTTTAATCAAATTGATCTTCATAGTTTTTAGGGCAGCAGGCCAGTCACTTATATGCATGGCTGAAAAAAAAAAAATCATACAGAAGGGTGTTGGCGTGGGATTTTCAGCAGTATGCAAACACAGTAGCGGGAACGTAGGGAGACCTTTATTTGCCATATGGGCAAAGAGGGAACAGAGTTAACAGTTGAATACAAATTTGAGCACTGAGTTTATAACCATGATAGAGCAGCTGTGATAAAAGAAGCCATATAAAACAATATGTTTTGCATTTTATATTCCAACTCGTTAAGTGACTTCACATGCAAAGTTTTTGCCAGATAACTGTTGGGAAATGTCACATATACATATAGTCTGTAAGTGTTGTCTATAAATTTTTTTATACTATAAAAGAAACATAATTTTCAGTTTTCATAAGACATTAATACTCAATGAAACAATACTACTGGTGCTGGCAACTAATATTCTAGCTGTCACATCATGTCAGTGAATTTGAGTGACTTTCAGTGCTTTAAAGTTGAATTACAGCAGCTGTACTTAAATTAGTAGAAAAACTTTTGTCCTCTAATGTATTAATAATTGATTGCCTTTCTATTTACAAGCTGTTCTTCTAACACAGTGAATAACAGTTGACACTAACTAGCCCAGCAGGATAAAAACACACATAAAAATGTTCTTAAGTCCTAATAATTTATGCGTACTACTGCAGTACAGTATTAGATACAGCATCTAGTGTGTATAAATAATTTTCAGTGGCCTGTTGGCTGAGCTTGAAATATTGTTTGTCAGTTATGTGTCCTAAAATAATTTGCCATTTCCCTCAGCAGTATTTGCATGTTTCCTACTGTACCAAACTTCCCTTTTTTGCTATCAGAGAAACGGCTTTCTGTAATAAGCTTTGTGACATGTGCATGGAAAATTCACTTCCACAGAAGCCTGAGACATGAGTAGCATGAATTGGGGTTATAAATGGTATTTGAAAGGAAGTGTGACCTAGTTTTACCAATAGTGTTTCCACTTCGTTGCTTTCCTTTTGGTTGTGGTCTCTGACTCTTCTCTGGGGCAGCGAGGTATTGTTATTAAATACTAGGCTGAAAACAATTGTTTCACTGACAACTTGTACGTCTGATGTCTCTTGCACCTCTTATATAACACCCAGCGTCAATATTTAGTGTGGTTCAAGGTGTGCTTTGTTCTACTTGTAACCAAATAGTAACTGTTCACACTGTACTGTACACTATGTCTCCATAGGTGAGGGCAAAAACCTCACCTATGGAGACATTTCCAGCTGGGCAACTTTTGTTTGAATTGAAGACAAGACGGGAATAGTAATGTTGTTTTATTCCTACAGAGCACCTAAAGAGCCAGCTGGAGGATTATGTACATCAACTGAAGATCGTCCGTGTAGTGCGGCAGCAGGAAAGGAAGGGTCTCATCACGGCCAGGATGCTGGGCGCCAGTGTTGCTCAGGGCGAAGTTCTCACATTTCTCGACGCACACTGTGAGAAAACACACTCAGAAATATTACCCAAACTACGGCTATGTTAAGCAGCTGTGTGTGGCTCAGTGTCTGTCAGTAGCACTGGTAGGGTTAGGGATTAATGAGTTGGAAAGCACAACAATCTTTATTTATGTAGCATCCTTCTAAGTAAATAAAGTGCTTCACAAAGTTAACTGATGATAAAACATACAAGGTAAAATGAAGTAGGCAGGGAAAAATTGAATACAATGACAGTAATATAAAATAATAATAAAGAGAATAAAAAACAGAAGAATAAAACCTTTGTTGAACACCTTAGAGGACAGGTGGGTTTTTAATTTTGTGCAGAGGGTGGCCAAATTTGGAGCAGATCTAATGGTATAAGGAAGACTGCTCCATAATCTGTGAAAGCCCTACCTCCCCAAGATTTAAGCCTAGTTCTCAGAACCTTTAAGAGCAGCTGATTTGAAGATCTCAAGGATCTTCCTAAGTTGTGAGGGTGAAGAAGCTCCAAGGTGAACAGCTTTAAAAACAAACAACAATAATAGAAAATCAGTCCTTTGGTGAACAGGGAACCAATGAAATGAAGCCAAAATAGGAGTAATATGTTCATGGAGTACCTGTGAGAAGATGAGCTGCAGCATTCTGAACCATCAGAAGTCTGGATAACAAACCTTGGGGAATGCCAGCATACAAAGCATTACAATAATCAATTCTAGTTGCTTTTAATCTTTACCAAAAAGTCACTTTATGCTACTACAAGAACGCATCTAATATTTCCAGTGATTCTCTGTTTTGTTTCATATTTTGGCTGATTTGTTTGTCTAATACAGTATTTCAGTTAGATTCAGCATTTCTGCCACTTTAGACACATTTTATTGCTTTTTCATCACTGGCAATACTGCTGCACAAACTGTACTTTGGACCAAAGCTGCTGCTATATGTAGTATAGTGGAGACAGCCAAGCTATGACCCCTTCATAACTCTCTGCACTGACTGTTGACAGTACCTTAATTTTTATGTCACAGAGACAGAAGGGAAATATGAGGTGATCTCTGTTTCTCCCTTATCTAGGTGAGTGTTTCCATGACTGGCTAGAACCCTTGCTGGCCCGCATTGTTGAAGAACCCACTGCTGTGGTTAGTCCAGAGATCAGCACCATTGACCTCAACACTTTTCAGTTCTGCAAGCCTGTGGCCACCAACCGCGCTGTTAACCGAGGTAACTTTGACTGGAGCCTGAGTTTTGGCTGGGAGGCGATCCCTGAGGATGCCCAGAAGCTGCGCAAGGATGAAACGTACCCTGTCAAGTAAGAAAACTCATGTTGGTTTCACGTAAAACATCCTGACTCAATTCAGTAGCTGAAGCTTTTGTTCCTGAAACTTTTAGAACACCTACTTTTGCTGGAGGTCTCTTCTCCATCTCAAAGAAGTACTTTGAACACATTGGAACATACGATGACAAGATGGAGATTTGGGGTGGTGAAAATGTGGAGATGTCTTTCAGGGTCAGACATTTTATCTGTACTCTTGAAGTTCTGCATGTTATGTAAGTGTCCCTCTTGTTATCAAGTTAGTCTCGATTGCTTCCTGTGTCAAATGTGATTAACAGGTATGGCAGTGTGGGGGTCAGCTGGAGATCATTCCTTGTTCTGTGGTAGGCCATGTCTACCGCATGAAGTTATTCCTTGTTCTGTGGTAGGCCATGTCTTCCGCACCAAGAGCCCCCACACCTTCCCCAAGGGCACAGAGGT